AAAAAAAAAAAAAAAAAAAAAAAAAAAAAAAAAAAAAAAAAAAAAAAAAAAAAAACTATATATTATGAGAGTCGTAAAAAAATATAGTAAAATGATATAACACGAGAAGTTTGACATGCAACGGGCATGTGGCCATAGACAATACGACTTCGACAAACATACATGATATAGAGGACGACCTTCTTAAACCAGTTTTGCTATAGGACGCTTAAGACACTATCGGTATTTATCATGATGATTTGAGCAATTGGTTTTTACAGGGTTGATTTTTATGGCTGTAACTTCAATTTCAGAGGAGAATATGGCATTTCGGAGCACATTTTCGGCACTTCTTGCCCGACTGTTCTTCTTCATCCCTGGTATAATCTTCCGTCTCTTGATTTACCTCACCGGATCATCTAATGAATATATTTGTAGGTTATCATTCAGTTTATCCCGAAGGAACTAGTACATAGCTTACCTAGAAACTTTTTAGTTTCAACATCGTTTTATTCAATTATCTGAAAGAATTCCAAATTGTACAATCAATTGAATGAATAGGAAATTCATATGAAGTCGGATGCTGGATTCTTTCGGATGTAGGTCAACTGGAGATACCATTCATATCATTACTTTTGGTGATTGCATTGGATTGTATCTCGACAATTGTGATTGACTAACTTGCCTTTTAGCATGAACTTTTTGTTGTATAATTTGTGAATTACACAACGAACAATCTTAAACTCGACAAAGTTGCCTATCGTAGATAAAATTGAATCAATTCATATGCAAGCCAAAGCCTGTAACAACTTAAAAGCTTCGAAATGGAATTAACGTATCTATATCCTGTTAGTGGCTAAGAGCTTCCAAAATGGAATTGACATATCTATATCGTTTTATTGCTAACAATGTCAAATATTGTATGGCTAGCATATCACCCATGTATTTCTTTAATCTACTGATGCATGTTACTATGAACTTCTTAGTTTTCTAATGCATAACTTGATTTATAACAGCAATAACTTGCTCTAACCGTAGTGATGTCTAACAACGCACAAATGTGCAGCAAATAAGCGATTGCTATCTTTTTGTGGAGAGAAGAAACGAGATTTCTTATGTTTACAGATGATTTGCCAAGTGCGAACACAAAAGGTGAGTCATGGTCAAGAGCAGCACTGATCGTTTTGATATTGAAATGACTGAGCTGGGCATGCCTGATGGTCTTGCACCATAAATTGATAGATCTATGGGTTTTGCATAGTGACAGTTACCATAACCTGCAATATAATATGGAAAATACAATTGTTAATTAAAAAAATTTGTTAGTTAAGTATACTAAGTAGAAACTCTTGTAATCAATTGACCTGTTTTAGCTATAATTGTGTACCACAAGGGACAACAGGGGTTAACTATGAGTCAGAAAGGTGAAAAGGCCATACTTGGGTTTGTACTAACGAGTTGTGCTGTTCCACCAAAATCACAGCTAGTAGCCACTGGATTCCTTTGGTAATAGTCATTGAAGGCATAAGAAGCATGGTCCTTCACTGTGTTCGGCTCATAGCAGCTCCCACCCGGCTGAATCGCCGAACAGTCTGTACCGCTATAGCCACAGGCATAGTCAAGAGCCACCTGCAGAGCAGTTGGAGAAGCTGCAGAGCTTGCAGTACACCATGAAACTCCACTAGATCTCCCTGGCCCTGTGGTGGGTTTCAAATTGGATTTTACTGAGTTTGGTACAGACTGTCCTGGCGTTGTTGTTGGATTAACAATGGTAGAGTCAACCAACTGAGTGAAATGTAGAGGAGAGAAGATTGTTCTGTCTTCTTCATTCTTCAAAGGTACGTTTTCTTGATGTTCTTCTTGTATACGTGATTTCCACGCTAAACTTGAACCTGAAGAGATCAAAACTGCATCAATTTTTCACCTTCTTTATGTCAAATTTGCTGCAATCACTGAATTATGACTAAATTACTTTCCTGGATAGCATGTAGTGGGTTTGAATTGCATCAAAAATTCAATATGTAGTAGAATTGACAATGACAACACAAGTTATTTTGTTAGAACTTAGTGCAGTTTTGAATGTTATCCTTTGTTTCCCATTAAAAAAAATGTCATTCTGTTTGCAGACATTGTCATATCAACATGAAGAACAAGAAGGTATAGATAGCTACAAAAGAATGAGCATAGAAATAGCTACAAAAGAATGGTAAAAACATCATTACCCGAGAAGAACAAGAAGGTATAGATAGCAAATAGTGCCAAATTTCTCAGAATGTTGATACCCATCACTTTAAGTTGCTGCTGAACTGTGTATTATCTCTGGTTTCTTCTTGGATTCATAAAACCTAGGAATCAAAGCTTTCTTGGATCACCAAGAACAGAAAGAACATGAGAAAACTTGAGAAAGCAGGCAATGGAGCAGTTGGATACCACAAGCAAGAGAAAGAGCTAAAAAAAAGTACACTAAGAAAGAAAGAAAGACAAAATCACAGCATATGGAGCTGGCTTATGTTTGATGTTCTTGGTGCATCTTAAGAACATTGTCTGTTTACCTTTGCTGAGTGATCGATTCAAGAATGGGAACTTCAAATATTCAAATGGGAATAAAACGATTACATATAGATTATTATTATTATGATTAAGCTTATTATGGGAATATTGTATATATATGTTGAGAAATATATATTTTGGATATGGTTTCATGAAAAACTTTCTTTTTTATAAATGAATGCTATAAAAATTCGATCCCCTACTCCGTGGACTACGGTAATAAATTGCCATTGCCGGCAAAATTTGCTCCTTTTTTATTTCTCCTCATAATTTATAAACAAAATGTGTCCACTTAGAAGTTTTTTTTTTTTCTAATTTCCAAAAAATGACTTTTTAGAATTCTGTTGGATAATTATACATTTTATGGTTTATGTTTTTTGGAAATTAAAAATGCTCATTCATATATTTATTTGGCTGAACTTTACAAATGAAAACTTAATTTGGAATGTTTTTAGCTTATAAAATACTAAAATAGGTAAATTGTCTGAAAAACATTCTTAATCTTTTAAAAGTTTCAATAATACTTTTAAATTTTAAAAAATTTAAAAATTATAGGAAATGATTAGTATTTATTTTAAAAATACCCTAAACTTTTAATGGTGTTTAAAAAATACTCTTACTAAAACCGTCAACTTTTTTAAAAAATTAAAAAAATACTCCTAATAGATTATATTTAAAAAAAAATACTAATTAAATTTTAAAAATAGCATCAACACACTTCATCTTTATCAAAAAAAAAAAAAAAAAAGTTTTCAAAAAAATTATTACCGTTAATATGTAGATTGTCTACCAATATCCAATTGATTATCTCCAAACCTTTTAACGTTACTTTGTAAAATTTATGAGTATTTTTGAAACGTGGTACTAACTGTAAATATATTTTTAAATGTTTTTTTTTTTTTAATTTAAATGTTTTTTTTGAAGTTTTTAAACCAAGTACCAACTTATTTTTTTAAATAAAAAAAAATTAAGATTACAAAACTTTTGAATACTTAAAAGCATTTTTGAAATACTTTTAGAAGTTAAAAAGAGTATTTTTGAAACTTTTCAAAGTTATAAGGTTAATTTTTTAAACGAAATAATAAAAACCATAAAGAAATAAAAATATCATTTTTATTGGGTAAATAGGCCTATAATAACCATGTGAATTTTGCTTTATTAATTATTATTTTAATGCTTCTCGACTTTAATCATTTGGAATTGATATACATACTATAAAAAATGTGTACCTCCATTTATAAGGCCAATAACACAATGCCACGTATTATATTTTATTCTTAATTTTGAATTTTCATTCTTACTTTTCTTTTTTCTTTTTCTTTTCATCTAGAAAAACATATATTATAAAATCTCTCCCAAATATCTCCAATATTACCGCCATAATGTTTTTTTTTTCCATTTTTTTCTTTACAAAATCTTTGACAACCAGTTCACTTAATTAACTGACATTAACTAACAAATTTTATAATTTTTATTTAATTTTCTAATAAAGCATGAATATTTGATATTGGAGTTAGGTGAGATTTTAACCGTTAATCTATAGATAAGTAATATTTTTTAAAATAATTAAAAGAATAATCCAATAATGCAACCTAACTCGAAAATAAATAGTTAGATGGATTATAATGTGAACGCTACTTTAATTGGTTGGATCATCAATTTAATCAACTTGAAATTTCGAATTAGTCGAAAAAAATTATAATCCAATTTAATCTAATTTATGTATACCCGAAAATTGAGAGATGTTTACACTGAAGCGTACTGCAACAAAAATCCGTTGATAATATAAGGTTTAAGATATGAGTCAAAAAGGGTATTACCATTTATGGAAAGTTACACACAATTTAGAAAAATGTGACAAAAGTTTTATATTTGTGTAATTTTCTTGAAACTTATTAAAGTGGATTATACATGTTTTTTTGTTTTTTTTTTTTTTTTTTAATTTTAACTCGAAATTTCGCACGTGACAATTGTTATATGTAAAAAATGAATTGGAAGAAGTACGCAGGACGGCGACGATTGAAGCCTTGCCGCTCACCAGCTCCTGCTTCTCCATGGATAACGCTTGCGACTCCAGTTAGGAGTAGTGGAGCTTCGACGAGCTACAGAAGCGTATCATCCACTAATCGTGGAGTCTCAACTGTGGTGAAGTTCTTCATCGTAGTTTCCCAGTGCAGATCGCTCACTCTCGCCTGATCATTACCTCCTATATTTACTGCTTTAGCTCGACGGATCGCCTTTCTTTGCCGGTGAGATCAAAATTTTCTTAATTTTGTTCGATTTTATTGCACCTAGATCCGTATAATAGGCACTTTAGTCAGAATTAGTTGTTTGCTGGTTGAAAATTGAATTATACGAGTTGCCGAAACGGAGTAACGGGGGGATTTTGCTTAAAAAACTTGTTAGTTTGGTTGTCTTGACGTTTGATTCTGCTGAATGTATGCCTATATCAATTTTTTGGTGTGATACTTGGTGATTTGAGTTGAACTGAACGATGTTGAGGATGGTTGGAAGTGAGTCCGACATTAGCTAATTTAGAGAATTAGCTAATTTAGGGAATGATCAAGGATTTATAAGTAAGGAATACATCTCCATGGGTACGAGGCCTTTTGGGGAAGCCCAAAACAAAGCCATGAGAGCTTATGCTTAAAGTGGACAATATCATACAATTGTGGAGATTCGTGATTGATAACATGGTATCAGAGCCATGTCCTAAACTTAGCCATGACAATAGAATCCTCAAATATCGAACAAAGAATTTTGAGCCTCGAAGGTGTAGTAAAAAAATGACTTAAGTGTCGAACAACGGGTGTACTTTGTTTGAGGGCTCCAAAGAAAGGCGTCAAGCCTCTATTAAGGGGGGACTTATAGTGTACTTTGTTTGAGGGGAGGATTGTTGAGGATTGTTGGGAGTGAGTCCCACATTGGCTAGGGTTTATAAGTAAGGAATACATCTCTATTGGTACGAGACATTTTGGGAAAGCCCAAAGCAAAATCATGAGAGCTTATGTTCAAAGTGGACAATATCATATCTAATCATATGTGTGAAATGATGTTAATGATTATTCCTGGGAATTTTAGTGACTTTAAACTTCAAACGAAAGATGAGCCTATAAACGAGGTACTAGTTTTTGTCGTTCTCGAAGGAGTATTCAATTTAGCATTAGTTCGTGAATTTAAACTCTATGTTCGTGATTATTTGTCTTAGTTCATGAATTTAAACTCTATGTTAGTGATTATTTGTGGCAATTTTAGTGAATTTAGCAATTTAGCATTAGTTCATCCGCTTCACATTAAATATTATTTAAACATGGAGGAATGGGCAGATGTGCTTGTGAAAATCTCATAGGTGAGATAGGTCATGCCCCCCCTACATATGAAAGTGTGTCGACAAAGAACAACATGCTTCTAGCCAAAAATTTCCAATGTCAGTGTCATATTTTGCCAAAAGCAGAATGTTTCATGCTATGGATAAGTTATTTTGCTTGTATTTTTCTTCCACGACTATGTGGAAATCGTTTTACTAGTTTAAGTAGTTGATAGCTTAGCAGATGTTCAGTTTCGTGCAATGTTTGATGGTTCCTTTATTTGTCGCCATCAGCATTATCCAAAGTATATTACTTTTCTTTATGACATTTAAGAATTGGTAGCATTTTGAAATAGAAGAAAGGGAAGACGAAATTCTAAGCAGTGGAAAGGAGTGCTCCTTCCAAATTTGATTTTATACTATATGACTATCTTGTATTTAAGTTTACCATCAACTATTGTTACATTTGTCCCATTTTTATTGCTACAATTACTTACCAAACGGTTTTTATCATGCATCCTCTTCACTCCTTCCTGTCAATTTTGGGCACATTATGTACTTCCCACTCAATTTTGGTTCCTTTTTTTTGGAGGGGAGCGGAGTTGGTGGACTGAGCATTTCTAGAATGAGAATATTCTTGTTTTGCTGCTGATATGTCATTTCCCCGATCTGCTTATCAGGAATTTAAGGAAATGGATGTACACCATAGCTCTCCTAGAATTAGTGTGGAGAAACCAGAAGCCCACAAACCCTGTAACAAGGATGCCGCACTTGGAGGTGATCTTTGGACAGATGGACTTATTTGTGCTTTTGAATATATTGGGAGACCAAAGAAATCAATTGATTCAAAATCCAGATCCAAGATGACAGACAGGCAACGAATTAATACTGAGTTTCCAACCACGCTGGTGCCTACAACTGAACCGAATAATGGCAATGCCAATACATGCGAGAGGAAAAGATTCTTCGAACCGACATGTCCGGAGGATCTGGAGAGCCAATGTACCCAGTTTTGTGAAAGAGAAAGAGTTGAAAGAAATAGCTGGTTACCTATAGGATGGGACAGAATATCAGAGCTGGTTCAAACGATACAAGTAGATGCTGAATGGGCCACAATGTCATGTGATTTTTTGGATGAAGAAGATGACCTTCCAGTTGCAGATCTTGTAGCACCTTATTGGAAGCGCCCAGCTGGACCTATATGGTGGTGCCATGTCTCTGCAAGCCACCCTTCTGTTGAGGCGTGGCTCAGAACTGCTCACTGGTTGCATCCTGCCATTAGTTTGGCTTTAAGAGATGAAAGTAGACTGATAAGCGACCGCATGAAGCATCTTTTCTACGAGGTGGCATTCTCCCTAGTTTTCAAGCTATTTGAGTGCTATATATATATATATAAGAAGCATTTCTTACTAACGGAGAATTAGTTACTAGAAGAAATTTCATTCTCAGCATTTAGTAGCATGAAATACATGATAAGTATGCTGCTGCTTAGAAAACTATCATAGTGGTTGAAACAATTAGGTGTTACCTTGCATATTAATATATTACCTCGTGAAGTGTCATCTTTTACACATGATTTAGCCGTGTCAGTCTGGTGCAATTTTCTCTTGGTTTGTAGTTTATACATTTTCCATTTGTTGAATGTGGTTGGACCAACATTATCTCTAACATGAACCCCCATATCATTTAAAAGACAAATCAGCGCAGACATGGGCTTTAGGTCTTGTCTTGGAACCGTTTTAAAGCAATTTTCAATTTTTTTAAACAAAGGTTCAAAGAGAATATGTTCCGTTGGCTGTTTTCTAAAAATTGGTTTTCTTATTTTTATTTAGTCTGTCTTCATGGGTGCCTGGTCGAGAACAAATAAAGTTATTCTTTCTTTCTAAATCATGGTTTGCAAATAACAAATATAACACATAGCATTTATATTTGTTGGTCAGCTAATCACGGTTTTGATAGTAGAAATATATGGTTATTTGGAAATACTTTGCCAATAAGTCCCTAGTCTCTTTACAATTTCAGGATATAAAGCCGAGATCTCTAGGTATACCGTATAAGTTATCTGGAAAATCTAAAAGTTCAAGCCTGGGTATGCGGAGCTATTCTATAAGGATTGCTCAACTTGTGAAAATCAATTTGTTTGAAATATCTCGATCAAAATCATTCACTCTCAGTTGCGAACAAAAGCGTGCGCGCATACGTATACAATTTTTTTGGCCAAAATGATATCTCTTGTATCACCAGACCAAAGCCTTCATTCTTAAACCCAAAATTATTTGTTTGCTTTTTTATTATGTTCGTTGAAGTTATTAGTCAATTCAAATGTTGTAAGTTGCTATAGTTATCTTAATAAATCTGTGAATAACTAAACTAGCACCTAGCTGACAGTCGTGCCTGAATAGACAAGAATACTGTCCCGCAACAACTAATCATTTGTTTGTATGGTTGTTTGTTTTTACTTCCATACAGGTTCCAGTAAGGGTAGCTGGAGGACTGCTATTTGAACTCTTAGGACAATCTGCTGGTGATCCATTCAGTAACGAGGATGACATTCCCATTGTACTTCGGTCATGGCAAGCTCAGAACTTCCTGATAACGTCATTGCATGTTAAAGGACCGATATCAAACATAAACGTTTTAGGCATCACAGAAGTTCAGGTTATTTTCCATAAAACTGATAATTCATTTTGCCTCTGTGCTGGAAAAGTTGGACAATTTCATAATTATTATTTCTGATTTCTTGTTCTTGTTAGGAGCTTCTGATAGTAGGAGATTATAATGCACCAAGAACAGTGCATGAAGTTATAGCACATCTAGCTTGCCGTCTTACAAGATGGGATGATAGGTAATAACTTCGTTGTAGAAAGTTAAACTGCAGTTGCATAGTTGACCCGTCAATTCCTTATTGCTTACCATGAGTTGTCTCGTCTCCATCTTATTGAGCCCCAAGTGCATAAATGATAAAGCTATTATTGCTGTGAGTAGTAATAGTTTAATCTGTATGGTTGACAAAAGATAGCAGGATGATTTATTTAAAATATATGCCCTCTCCTTTATATTGTCAGCTCATCTTAAAGCTTCTTCATGGTATTATCTTTCAAATAGTTTGTGGTTTTTTTTATAGGATATTAGCTTGAATTGGAATACTTTCACTTTTCCTTTGGAGTTTCTATCTTTTGAGCATTAGACTCTTTTCATTCCTTTAGTGAAAAGTGTTGTTTCTTGTAATTAAAAAAAAAAATTCAAAACCTATTGGCATCTTTCTTAAGTTGAGTCTTATTTCTGTTGTCAAATATTCTACTATACAATGCCTGACGTATTAAATTCAATTCTCTCTTTTCTTACAGGTTATTTCGAAAATCCATATTTGGAGCAGCAGATGAGATTGAATTGAAATTTATGGACAGGTTCTTATCTTGTATGTCATCTATTAAATTGATATCATATTGGTTTATCTTTTAATCCGCATGTTTCTCATGAAGACTCTCCTTCATTTTTGCCCCTAATAAATATAGGAGAAACCATGAAGATATGCATCTTTTCAGTATAATCTTGAATCAAGAAATCAGAAAATTATCAAGACAGGTATGCTTTCTCATCACTACACTCGATGGCTGTTGAAAATTTTCTTTGATGTCTGTTTTTCTAAATAGTACTCCCATTGACTCAATCGTTGGTTGGGATTTAACCGGTGGTTGCTTAGTATAAAAAAAATAGTGTTTTTGGATTGTGTCATTTCAGTTCTTTTTTTCTTTTCCAAATTGTGCTTTGGTCAGGAGAGGAACCAGATAATGATTATGTTAGTTCAAAATAGAGCCCGAAGCATTTACTTCCTATTAAAAAAATGTTAATTCTGTTGATTTTTTATTTTTATTCTTATATATTTCATCTTCCTCTCGTTTGTTTGGTAAACGTTTATTTCTTGGATATCATTTTGCCCCTCCGAGGGTGTCTCTTCTTCCTAAGCATTTGGTCCTTTTCACTTTGAATGTAGCTTTGTTTCCTATGATAAAATATGTCTGTAAGCGTATAGCCATCTATAGATGTATTCCTTACTTAGCCAATGTGGGACTCACTCCCAACAATCCTCTGTGGCTTTCCCTGAGGCTTATGGAGCTCTCGAATAGCTTCCCCTTAATCGAGGCTCGACTCCTTTCTCTGGAGCCCTCGAACAAAGTACACCCTTTGTTCGCACTTTAGTCACTTTTGACTACACCTTCGAGGCTCATGGAGCTCTCGAATAGCTTCCCCTTAATCGAGGCTCGACTCCTTTCTCTGGAGCCCTCGAACAAAGTACACCCTTTGTTCGCACTTTAGTCACTTTTGACTACACCTTCGAGGCTCACAATTCTTTGTTCAATATTTGAGGATTCTATTAACATGGCTAAGTTTAGGGTATGGCTTTGATACCACGTTAGGAATCATGACTCTCCACAATGGTATAATATTGTCCATTTTGAGCATAAGCTCTTATGGCTTTGCTTTGGGCTTCTCCAAAAGGCCTCATACCAATGGAGATAGTATTCCTCACTTATAAATCCATGATCTTCTACTAAATTAACCAATGTGGGACTCACTCCCAATAATCTTCGACATACATCTCTGTAGTCTTTTGAAACAAAGATCGGCAATTTCAGGTTATCAGAGTAAAATGGTCGCTGCATGCGAGGGAGGAGATTGTATATGAGCTTCTTCAACATTTACGAGGGAATGTGACAAAAGCCTTATTGGAGCGCATAAGTAAGAGTACTAGACAAATGATTGAAGAGCAAGAAGCAGCTCGTGATCGTTTATTCACCATTCAAGATGTCATGCAGAGTAACGTTCGTGCATGGTTACAGGTAATTGATTCAATGATAATCTATGATCATTTGGTATTTAATCTGTTCACGATTTTATATTTTTTTTAATATAACTGACCCTAAGAATGCACTAAATTTGTTACTGACAGACTAAATTGATGAAAATGAATTTTAAAATTAGTATTTTATGTGAGAACATCCTTTCAACGTCTTCTTTTTCTCGAATTCGTCATTTCAAACTTGTGAACAAATGACGTGAGATTTTTGTATTCTTTACACCTTTCATTTTCTTATAAATTCTTTGCACCTTTCATTTTCTCATAAAGATTGCCGAGTTGATTATTGAGGATTTCTCCTTTAAGTTACTTAGGCCACACCAATATCCATTTTGGTACGTACTTCTGTCACTTGTTCTATTCTACTTCCTTATAAATCTTAATATTAGTCTTTACTACGAGTTTGTTGTTATTATTATTATTTTTTAAATCCTCTAAAAATTTGAGACCAAATTCTGAATGAAAATTATAATTATTATTTGACCAAGATTGATAGGAAAAGAAATTGACTGCCAAACATAGGTTCCGGAGTTATAAATCCAAGATTCATTTTTCAGATACTGTTTTCAAATTTTCTTTTGAAGCAGGCCTGCAATTTCTTAAATTATAAGAAATACAGTCTTATTTTCTGTTGTATACCTGTTTTCAATTAGATTTGTTCTTTCCTTTGTGATTACTCTCATGGATTTCTGATAGGTTTCACTGTCTTTCACACGACAATTATTCAGGATAAAAGCCTCCGAATAACTCATAACTTGGCTGTTATTGGTGGCTGTGGCCTTGTTCTTTCCATTATAACTGGGCTGTTTGGAATCAACGTAGATGGGATCCCCGGAGCACGAGATACACCATATGCATTTGGAATATTTTCAGCTATCCTATTCTTCTTAGGGATTGTACTGATAGGAGGAGGCCTGGTTTACCTCGGCTTGAAGAAGCCCATGGAAGAAGGTAAGGTTCAGGTCAGGAAGCTGGAACTGCAAGAGTTGGTTAAAATGTTTCAACACGAGGCAGAAACTCATGCTCAGGTACGAACGAACATCTTTTACTCGTAATAATACGCCCCCTACTGCAAGAGATATTTTCACAGCTGATGCTGATTATGTGCTTGAAAATGAAGATGGCAACCCCGTAAATGGTAGAGATGGAGCTCTACTCGACTCGATGACAGTGGTTGATTGTCGAACAACTGCAACTTTCTGGCTATTAGAGATGCATGCTCAAGGGCGCCATTGTTTGCTTCTTTCTTGGCTATAAAGAAGAGAGTACAGCATATGAAAGGTATTGTTAAGTTAAAAGCATAAACATATTATTGGAAAGATGTCATTGTATATATGTATAATAAGCAGAAATGTTGTGTAGTACATGTAAACATAAATAATAACATATAATCTCTCCCTTAAAAAAGTTTGGCACAGTTTCTATATTGACTTGGGAATCAATTTAATGAGACATCAAACGGACAACGTTCATCACCCTTAAGCCTTGTATAAGCACAAATATATTAATTTACTAATATATACACAAATATATTAATTTACTAGGATATTTGTATAAGCCCGCTAATAGCCCATATTGTCATTTTTAAGTTTTCCCTTTTCAGGCTTCCTTTTTGGGCTCTCTTTTTAAACTTCTCCTCAAAGTTTTTAAAATGCATCGACTTAAGAGAAGTTTACTCACACCCTTACGAAGAATGTTTCGTTCCCCTCTCTAATTACAAGACAAAACATACGAAATAATTCAAGCCATGTTTAGTCAAAAGGCGTGCAAGCACAAATCCCAAGTTCTATTTGAGAAATCTAGGAAGGCCACGTTTAAAAACCTGCTCCATCCTCATTCAGCCAATGACCACAAATAAAAGAAGACTGTTTCAGAAAATCTGGTAACTCCACATATAATAACATTTAACACCAATCCCGCAATGTACCACATCTGCTCAAATGCATACAAACTGAGCCCGCCATTGTTAACTCAACATTAGTCATCTTTTACCAAAACAGCAGGCCAACTCAACCTGTTTTCTTCTTCTTTTTTTTTTTTTTTTCCTCATTTTTCTTGCCATTCACTTTTATGAGGAAACATATTACTTAAGAAGAGATCTTGCTAGATGTTCGCGAGCTGTGGCCAAGGCTTGACTTATTGTCTGCAAGAGAGATAAACATGTTTCAATATACTTGAGAAATGAATGGAGAAAAAGTAAAAGAAAAGAATCTGAAAGATTGTAGTGTACCTGCTCAGACAAAGGAGCGCCACTGTCAATACTGTGGCTTGCGACCTTCCCTGCAATCACATTTGCATCCGTCTCGAGAATAATGCTGAAAAACACACAGTTAAAACACTCGCCAGTTACCCCAAAATGGTTTGTGAAACGAAGGTTAAGTACTATTGGATTGCACGTTTACAAAAGGATAATAGTGATAACAACCCTTCACGATCAAATTAAGAGGGAAAAAAACAAATAGAAAAGCAATCAATAACTTTATTAAAACAACCACTAGTAAAAATAATCTGTTTGACTTGATCCATGCAAAGCCTCTGTTGTTCGGTTATTTATACACTTAAAAAGGAAATAAAGAAAAACTAACAGTTTAATCTAGATGCTCTGCTCCATAAGCGATATATCATAACATGGATGCTACTATATTCATATTACAAAAGTACAAATGTGTGCTACTGAAACGGAGAGTTTTGTGTATTAATTTTCTGCTACATTTATCAATGACGATAAACGAACAGCATGTGACCTACAATGAAGAGCCCGCTCGGTCAGCATAGTTAGTAGCTCAGATTTGCAACGCCTAGAATTCTAGTTTCTTGGTATTTATGCTTCACATTACATAATGTCATCTCCACTATCATCATAATTGGACGAAGTTCATCCATCAACTTATGTAAACAATACACACACAGTTAAAAACGGAGAATTGGAACACCCAAATCCCTTATCCAGCAACAAACCTCGGTCAAAATAAGCCAGTACTTCATCAGGAGACAATAATTTAGACTATTATATAGGAGTCATGCAACCACAATGAAAGCATACTACTCATTCATCAACAAATTGTTTTCCAAATATATTCATGAAACTATTACTACTAACTTAAATTCTTGATATATAATCATCTACAACTCATACTTCAATTATCATGTTCACAATGGTCTAGCAAAAATAGCCATGGCCATCAAATTAAGAGGATAAGTAAAAAAAATGACACATTCAAGGTACAGAAGAATGATGATCAATGGAAGGAAATAGAAGAACAGGCAACACAATTGAAGTGCAGAGAATCAAGATAATAAGGAAAGAGCATATGAGAGATACCCTCCGTCGATAATTTCATCAAGACACAGTAAAATGAGGTCCAAGTTCTCAAGTGCCTCCTTCTTTTCTACATTACTCCTGGAGTACAAGAAAAGAAAATAAATATGCAAGAATACTATGATCAAGAACAGTAGAATTGGGTCAGGGCATAAGGATCCAAAGTTAATATAAATAGTGTCAATACCTAAGAAGAATACCCACTGCATCAAAAAATCCCTGAAGAACAGACGCTAAAATGAGCTCATTTTCATCTTCTCCACCCGTTACAAAAAAATGAAGGTCTTGAACAAACTTGTAAACCACTATATTGTTCTCAAACATTGCTATCTCCGCTGTAGATTTAAAGAGAATATCGAGTTAGAATTTAGAAAAGGAACTTCTTTTTCATAAGAATGAAGAGATCAAAATATACTTTCAAAATAGATAATGACACTATCCGATGCAACCAATAATCATGAGAATGTGACTGTAAAATCATTCTTATTCTCATGGCACAAAACAATGACTATGGATGAACCAACTATAATTTGACTACTGAAAGATTCAGAAGCTTCCTTACTGTGATTAAAATGACATTGAAATTGAATTGACATGATTAGGCCATACGGACTTTCACAAAAAAACAGTTAAAATCCAATACATGAAAAGATAACTACCCTCTGTTCGAGCATTTGTCTTCTGAGTTTTGATGAAAACGGCTTTCTCAAAAGCTTCCTTCGCACTATTTGTAGGCCAATCATCCGAATAATACTTGACAGCTACACGCTTCCCTTCGGAATCCAAAAGAAGAATATTTTTAATGGAAGGGCAGGATTCCTGCATAGATTAAGGCAAACATGTTCGGATTCTTCATAGATTTTTTTTTTTTTTTTTTTACCTAAATAATTGTTGTCACAGCTATCATGTCTGAGAAGCATAAAAAGCTAATCACGAAGAACATTCAGAAACTAGCAAATTATGCTACATCGGAATTTGGGATTAAGAAGCCTTCTGAAAGAGCTCCACAAAGTTTATTATAGAGCCGACGCTATACAAATCAAGATCTAGAAGCATTTTCACTAAAATCTTTAATCGAAGTACAAAGAACCAAGTGCGATTAATTTTAAATTAAGATTTGTCTAAGCAAAAGATAAAAATCCTGCGGTCATCGGCTAGATTCGTAGACAAATCACAAACTCCATACGAAGGAAGTAATGCACGAGTCAATTCAAATCTTCCGACGAAAGTAACAAGATCTATCCAAGAAAAGGCTAAAATCCGAATCAACCAAGTTCAGAGATCTATCCGTGCCTACGAACACATTGTTAAAATGAGCACAGGAGTCAGATCTACTAAAACATCAACCAACAAAATGTAAAAAATATGTCGATCATAACTGTCAACTAGAACAAAACTTCATAATCCTAACATCATTGTTCATTCCCGCAAATCCATAGATAGTAAGTACAAGACAAGTCTAAATGCTAGATTCAATGGAGTGACGAAATCAGACGAATAAGTAATAGAAGTATGAAACAAAGACATCATTCATTCAAAAAGAAGAAAGAAACTGACCATTCGGTTTGTGAAATTTTTTCCCGGGAAATTATTCTGCGGGAATTCGAACACCGTCGGATCTCTCTCACGTTATTGACAGAGGCCACAGAACGAAAATCGAAATGAGGACTCTTTTCCAAATGCTTCGTCGACTCCGGCCGGTCCCCAAAGTTCACTAAAATTTAAAATGAGGCCCTTACTTTTTCATAATTAATGTTTTGTCTCCTTTCCTTAAATATTTATGTTTTGGACCCCTTTGTAATTTTGATTTTTTAAAAAAAGGAAATTAACGCTCAAATTTGATGATTAAGTCCTTAAATATTACAAAAATGCACAAAACGTCTCATCCAATCAAATCCTTAAATTGTAAGATCCTATCCACCGTTAGTAGATATTATCCGTTTTAGTCTGTTACATATTATCGTCAAACTCACGATTTTAAAATCAAACAATAAAGGTATGAAAACCTCTTCCTAATAGACACGTTTTAAAACAATGAAACTGACAACGATACATAACGGAAAGAAATTAGCAATACCTATTAACAACGAACTTAAACTGTGACGAAAAACCTACTTCACGTGTCACAAGGTGTAATTTTTTATGGAAGAGAGTCAGCCCACTTTTAGTCGTTCCAGCGATTATGCCCGTTTTAGCCCCATACCGTCCACCCCTATCATCATAATGGAAAGGGGTACTTTTGAGCTGATGCGTAACGGATCAAAGCGACCGTTAGTCGGGTTGATTGATAGTAAATTGAAAGAATAAATAGATCTATCATAGGTGGGTTGAATATTGAGTTTCGCTTAGATTACGTGTTCTGTTTACGCGCTACTAAGCTGGAACATGGGATCTTAGATGGGTTTCGTCCCCTTTAAGGAACACCTTCTTACTAGTACGATAAAAGCCTGATGCAAATAGAACGTTCAATTTTTTAAGACCCCAACTGCATCAATTTTATAAGTCTAGACATTGATGAATCAAAGTGAAATTAGGGTTTGATTGATTGTAATTTTTGGTTTTTTAAAAAATAATTTGAGTATTTTGTCTGTAACAATTTCCACAACAAAATCAAATATAAATCCGACAGAAGCTACAATAAAGCGACCATTTCTGTCTGTAAAAAGCTTCAATTTCAAACATAAATTTCCACAAATCTGTTCTGGATGCCTTCCTTCCTTCCTTCCACCACCATTTCTTTCCTTCTTTTTCTTCAAAAACTCAGTAGCTTTGCCAGATGAGGCGTCCATGGCGGTGGATGAATATTTGAGTTTTCATGTAAAAATCCCATCTTCTTACACACTGTTTCATTAAATAATTGCTTCTTCCTCGTATGATCCAAGCCGCAGGTTGTCTGCTGCTACTGCCTGCGCCAATGGTTTCAAAATTTATGGATCTCTGTCAGGTTATGAGATCAACAGTCTTGGAAATAATCAAACCACTGAACCTATTAATTTCTAACTCCAATTAAGAGATTTTGAACTCATAACAGACTCAATCCAAGAATCAGTTGGGTAATATATACAGCTGATGAGCTAAAAACACAATAAAAACATCAAGATCCTTAATGTTTTGAGAAATTATGAACAACAGAAACAAAAAATTCCTTCCCGAAACATGTGTCAATGAGAAACAAGGAACGAAAACGTTATGAATTGCCTAAGCACTGTGAAAACGAGATAATGACAGAGATCCATGGCTTTCTCGATTCAATCTTTGGTTATTGATCGAGGAGATCCCGAGTAAGATGGATTGTCATTTCGGGTATTGTCCTCTTTGAGCTTTCCTTTCCGGACTTCCCCTCAAGTTTTTTAAAACGTGTCTGTTAAGCAGAGATTTTCACACCCTTTATAAAGAATGTTTCGTTCCTCTCTCCAACTCACGTGGGATCTTACAATCCGCACCCTCCTTGGGAGCCAATGTCCTCGCTTGCACACCCCAGTGTCTGGCTCTGATACCATTTATAACAGTCCAAATCCACCGAAACCCACCGCTAGCAGATATTGTCATTTTTGGGCTTTCCCTTTCGGGCTTCCCCTCAAGGTGTTTAAAACGCGTATACGAGGGAGAGGTTTCCACACCTTTATAAAGAATGGTTCGTCCACCTCTCCAACCAATGTGGGATCTCACGATAACCAAGGAAACTAACGATTTCCTTTGCCTTCCATTAATCTATTTGAAAACAAACAAACATAGGAATGCTACTGAGAAGACAGGATCAGCCTAAACCCTGTTCCTAAAATGATGTTTTTAGTACTACCAACAATGGCTAGATCAAGCTCCAAGACATGCTATGACACAGATATAAACATGGCTAGAATTGAATGAATTAGACCAAATCATTAACTTTTCGATCATATACTACGTTTCCCTAAGATGTTTAATCAAGATCTACCCTGTTTCTTCCACTTCTCTCAAGAACACACTCCAAATTCATTGCATAGCTCACAACAAAACCTCTACAAGCTATGAGATCAAATCATGTCTCATTCATTCCAACACAAAAATGCAGAACAAAAAAACAACACCCCTAGTAGAGGAAGCAACATTACCTCATGCTGGCATTGGCTTCTGCAGCAACGCCGTCAGGTAAACCTCTCCGTTCTTCAACCCGCCAGAGTCGGTCTTACTCGCCGTTGCCCACTTGACCTTCCGGTACCCCAACTTGGTGATCAAAGGAGAGTAAACTTTATCAAGATCCACCCCTTTGCTGAAGAAATGATCAAACCAAAGGTAACCCCCAACTCTCAACACTCTATCCACATCATAGAACAAAAACTCCATCGATTTCACAGGAATCCACCGGTTCACAGCATGGCCACACCGAACCAGATCCATCACTCCATCAAAAATGGGCAACCGCTGCTGAAGCGGTACGTGCAAAGGCACCAATCCCCTAAGCGCCGCAACCTCATTGTACGGCGCGCCAAGGTTCATAGTCGTAGTGACCATAGTGACATTGTAGAGCTTCATTCTAGCAGCAAAAGTGGCGGTTCCACCGCCAATATCAAGTCCAAGACGAACAACAGAGTTAGCCGCCTTCGCAATCTGTAGCAATTGAGGGATTGGGAGGTCCAATTCGGTCTTAAAGGACATAAACTTGGTGATTTCATGAGAAGGATCAAACCCCAGATTCGGATTCAGTCGATTCAAACACCCAAATCCCTTACACGAATATTTCCCCCAAATAATATTGGACTCCGGAAGTGAAGAACCGAAGGGATTTTGAGGCAAAGAAGAAGAGGGTTTTTGTGGGGTTTTGGCAAAGCACCGCCGACGAGGAAGTGGATGACACCCACGAAGAATCAAAGCCTCAGCGAGATCGGAATCAGAAGGGCAACTCGAAAACGGAGTGTAATTCATAAACCTATGAAGAAGCTCAGGGTTACTATGGCAAGATGAGGCAATTGGGGAGAACTGAGAGTACAGAACGAGATCTGAAGGGATAGAGACTTTGGTTTTCGATACGGAGGCTGCCGCCTTAGGGTGGAGGCGCGTGAGGTGGTTGATAGTGGCGCGTATGGTCTGAAGCTGCCGGATTAGGTGATCTGGAACCGGCTGTGAAACAGGGGATTTTTGGGATTGAAGCGTAGAGGAAAGATGGTAAAGAGAAAGAATGTTGGTGGCCACCATTGCCACGAGAAGAAGCAAATTCAAGCCCATTGTGAAACCCATTGCACCTCTCTCTGATTTTTCACTCACTGATCTTCCACTTTATGGATCCTCTCTCTGCCATGGCTTAGCAGACCAATTGACAATCTCGTAATGCCACAACAGAGAGAGGCATGATGCGCTGAAGCGGGTCCCACGAAATTATATTTGAAGGAATATCTTGTACCGTTGGATGGAAATTTCATGATCGAGATGGGGATCGGACGGCGAGGAAGTGGGTTGCATAGGGGACAGCGAGAGGATAATTAATTGTTGGAATTAAAAAAATTGAATAGATTTGTTTAAAGAAGACACAGAGGCACGTGAATTTAGGGCAACTTGTTACTTATCTATAAAGAAAATCTTATGCAGATTTCTGTTTATTTATTTATTTATCATTAAGTATTATAAAATAACGATATTAGTCAAAATTAGTAATTATTTAAATGTCATAAAGGGTTAAAATAAATAAATAAATAAATAAATAATTCTGCAAATGTGACGACCATTTGGGATTTTGGAAGCTTTTCCGGATATTTTTTTAAAAGCCAATTTCAAAAAATGGAAAAATTGATGTGATATTTTTTAATACCTTTTACCTAACAGTAATTTAATATTATCCCATGTTTTGTCAAGAAAATTCTACTCTAAGAAGAAAAATACGAAAAACATTTATATTTAACTTATGCCAAGAGAATCGCATTGAAGCGGTTTTGTAGCTTAAAAGGAATAAAAAAGAGGTGAAAATGTTATCACAGAATAAGAATATGCTCCACGGAACACTGACTCCATCTTCTCAATGGAGATTATTCTCCCAATCAAAGAAGAGATCTTGGCCATAGGCATTGTTCTTAAATCTTTCGAGAACTTAGTGTAGGGGATAAAGTCATCCCTTTTAGATGGGAATCACTCCTTGCAAAAATATATTCAAACTCAATCATTGAGTTGAAAAATGGGCACTTCTTATCTATACTAAGACTTTCATATTCCAAGATCGAGCGGTTGTTCGGTAAGAATGGAAAAATTGCAAATCCGCCCTTACTATTAGAGCTATTTATATCAAAATAAAATAGAAAAGGCCTTCCAATAAAAGCTAACACATTCTTCAATCTATTAACATTTTACTTAACATTTGGCAAGTCAGGAAGATTTCAGTACATTGTAAACGAAACCAATAAGTTGATAGATGGATAGAATTGAAGAAAATACAATTCCAAAGCTAATTTACAATATCCCACCAGTTGTTTCCCTTGATGCAAGGGGCGATATGGCTACACCATTCTGCATATGTCTACTTCACCAGATCTCAACTCCTTTGGAGACACCAAATGTTATGGCCATGACGGCAAGAACTGACTGAGCAAAGGAAAAATGAAGCACAGTTTCAAAAAGAGTAGATGGAGATCATAACACCCTAGCAGCACACAGTCAGAATGGCACAAAACTTCCACCAACAGGATAAATTTTGGGTCCATTTTAAGGTTTTTCATTATTAGTATTTTGAAGTGAAGGGTTGGATGCTCAACTCCTCACATTAAATGCTCATTGCCCACCTCCACTGGTTATTGGGTGGCTTCACCCACTCCAACATCAGCTCTAAGAGGAACCGTAACAGCCCAAGCCTACCGTCCTCTATGGACTTTCCTTCCAGGCTTCTCATCAAGGTATTAAAATGTGTTTGCTAGGGAGAGGTTTCCACACCTGTATAAGCGATGCTTCGTTCTCCTCTCCAATCGATGTGGGATCTCACAATCCACCCCCCCTTGGGGGCCAACGTTCTTGCTGGCACACCGTTCGATATCTAGCTCTGATACCATTTGTAACTGCCCAAGCCCACTGCTAGAAGATATTCTTCTCTTTGTGCTTTCTCTTCCAGGCTTCTTCTCAAGGTTTTAAAACACGTTTGCTACGGAGAAGTTTATTCTTATAAGCGATGATTCGTTCCATCTCCAATCGACGTGGGATCTCACAGAAACAGTCACTAGATTTTCATTAGATGGGCTAGAACCTATTACTTTAAGAGGAGGTCTCGAAACATCCCAAACCTTTATCATTTTGACTACCACTTGAAGTATTGTCATTATTATTAATATTTTTGAAGATAGGCGAGAAAGCACAATTTTGAGGATAGGTAATGATAAAACACATTGGTATAATAGCTACTTACAGCAATTGCACATGCAATATATCCAGGTTTTTCTCGGTAATCCACCCGTACAAAGAGTACGACAAAAGCTCCAACGTACCAGGGAATGCCACCCAGAAAGAAGCCAATCATAAACCTGGAAAAACAATGATTTTCTTAACCATCGACATGTTGGGAACGAGTGTAGAGAAATGGGGTGTCACAAATATTAACTTACAAGAACCAACCCATGCCAATGCCACAACAAGGAAGACGGGCTTCGTGAAAGGGTCTTCCCTCAATAATAGCATAGCCTTGAACTACAAGAAACAAAAAACATTAAAGCGTATGATGGATGAAAACATCACTACCATTTAGGATAACTGCATAAAGATACAAATTCATGCAACTACACAACCAGAAATAAACACATGCATGGCTGACCATATTAGATCTGTAGTTTTTTCGGAAGTTATTTCATTCGAAGATTAAAAATAGATGCCTGAATAGATTTACCATGGCATACCAAATCATGAGGTGACACAATACATACATGTTGTAATGCTTCCTGGAAGCATGAGAAATAGATATTATCGAGCAGACATCCTGTCTAATTGACATGCCCAAGCCATATTTAAAAGTTCATAACACAGTTCATAACTATCACTCTGCAAACGAAATTTGCCAACTGGTTAAAATGGACGCTTGTATAGGTTTTACATGAGCTAACCAAATCATTAGGCGACACAATAGACATATGTTGTAAGGCATTTTCTGGAAGCACGAGAAATAGATTATCGAGCAGACATCCTGCCTAATTGACATGCCAAAACACAGTTCATAACTAACACTCCAAACGAATTTGTATGCTGCATTATGGATTTAACTTGGATGACACCATTGATAATGTTGCAATAGATTCAAGCATTCAACTTTCAACGCCCATATTTAATTAACGTCAATAAATTAAGCAACTGAATTACAGAATCTTATTATCACTGATTCGGTGAATTGGGAGCATTGCACAACTACAGTCCTCAAAGAAATATCACGACAATTTCTTTCAGAAAAAACACATTCTAAGCAATCCTTTAAGAAAGAATTAGGTATATCTGTGACGTAATCTCATTGGGTGATGACCAAAAGGCTTTTGAAATCAGAGTGGTCCCAAAGAAGATTAAGTTGTAAGTATGGTCTCTGCTGCGCTAACACCAGAAAAGAAATTCGGGTTCGAGTATTTATGACAATTAGTGCACATTACATGTGATGCAAGTATAGTAATGAAGATCAAGATACAGCTCCTCACGATGTGTGAGTTTTCCAAAAGGTGGTAATGGAACTTCTCAAGTGCTTTTAATTTCCAACGGGCCCTCACTAAATAATACATGGGATTTTACTACCCAGCTGCTTTTGGGCCATCATTACAAGGCAAGAGCCAACAAGCCACAAAAGTTGGAAAGGTTAATAGGGGAAAAAACACAAGAAACTCCCCCATTCGCACAAACCATGGCAAGAGTATAATTCCAGAAGACCTAAAATCGGCGCTCGATGAGAAGGAAACAAAAACTACAATTTTCCCACTATCGTTTCCTCAAATAAAAAGGCTCTTCCGTTCTCTCTAATGAGACATCCCATTAAATGGCTCTAGTAACATCCAGACTGACCTCCAGCTCAAGAGATACTGTCTTCAGAAAGTCCCTTAGAAACTTCTCTATCTCCTAGAATACTTTCCTAGACGCCTTAGACACATAAAAAAACTGATTATGCATGCCCAAGAGACCACTCGTCTCCCAACTTTTCAGGAGAACTTCATGTTATCAATAATATGGAAGAATTGGGATGTGGAATGAAAGGGACCGTTAGAACAATTAAGTTCAATGAGGTTTTGGATTCTTAGGGCAGCACTCTTGGTTTTGGAAGCTAGGTAGTACAGGTAACCTCAAAGTAGAGAGTTCTGTAATTGTTCTCATATTTAAACCCAAGCCGATCAGAAGTTTCCTTTAAGCTTCATGACAAATAGAGTAGCATTCCCAATCTCTCTTCCTCCTTTCTCTCTAACAAATCCTCATACGATAAGAAGGTTTCTTGTTTCCAAAGAAAACACCACATGCCAGATACAAACTCGGGGTTAAGATCTTGTTGCATAGCTGGCTAGATCATCAATGAGTTAGCTGTTGAAACATTCAACATCACCTACGCCTATGTTTCTTCTTTAGGTAAATTATGTCAAGAGTCCCAACTGGTAAGCTAGAAAGCTGTCCCAATTAATCCTGAGCATAATTTTCGACCTTATTTCTCACCTCCAGGACATTATTAGAGGACAATAATCAAACTAAAGATCGGATATTATTCACATTCATACCAGTAAATCAATAGCCCAGCTGAAACATCAGATAAAGCAAATCAATTATAAACCACATTAATGAGCATCAGAAACGCATTTAATACCCATCAAACCAACGGATGCCAATATGTGGAGAGAAGTCACATAGAAAACTCGTCATGATCATTGGTAAAGACCATACGAAACACCATCAATGCCTAAATAAAGCAGACAATTCGTATATGCCCCTCAAGTAATAATATTTAAGCAAAAATTCTGCACAAACTCCTAGGATGAACCACGATATTGATCTTTAGATTCTGAATTCGTCATCAATCTACCAGAAATCATACCATTTATAAAATCCTCCAAATCTACGAACGTGATAAAAAGAATGGAGACGAGGGGAGCTATTTACCTGGAACGGCTTGGTAATCCAAATGTCCATGGTAACATGGATGGCGAGGCGGCGCAACCTGCGGAGGGAAACCGACGACAGATTGGGGATGAGGCTGCGGCTGCGGTTCTGGGGCGGAAGAATAATAGTTTGCGACGCCCTGAAACGTCCCGTAATGATATTGACTCTGTGGATCGCCAAAAACCGCGCTGCTTTTCCCGTCACCACTCATGTTATTTGCAGAAGAAGAATCAAAGACTGTATGTTGAAGATCAAGCCGACGGTAAGGGTTTCGTCGTCGCTTTTATCTTCTTCTTCTGCGATTTCGCCGGGAAATTTTGGAGCGATGGAGCTTTGGCGGAAAGAGTAAGGCTGTTTCCGGCATTTAATAGGGGCGGTGATGTTCTGATTTGGGTGAATAGAAGTTGTACAGCTGGCAGTATTTTCTCGACCCGGGCGGAACTGGAACCGCGTTTTTAAATCTTTTCTTATTACAGTATTTGGCCTTTTCTTTTTCTCTTTCTTTTTTTCAATCTTTAATCATTTTATATTTTTATTAAAAAATGAATCTTTCAAATTTTAATTTAATTGTATTTTTTTTCAATCGAGAGCTCAGAATACAAAATTCAACAGAACCATTCGGTCATATTTATAAAATCGTATGAAATTTGTATAAAACTAATATAAAACTAAAAATAATAATTACTCCAACTTCGAATTTTATGTTTAATATTAGATTCAATTGTTGGAAGAAGAAATCAAATTAAAATAATGACAATAGACAAGTTGTAACTTGTTACATGCCAATGAAGTAGGTTGACCATGTAATTAGGAGTAAAAAATATTAAATGAATAAAAATGCATGGATAAGATGTAACATATTATTAGATATTAGATATTAGATATTCATAATTAACAAGAATATTATATGACTCTAGTTTATGCTTATGAACGAATTATATGGGTAGCATTAGTATACTAAACCCGGGCCGTACTTGGCTAAAAGTGAGTCCTATGTTTGAAAATTGCAATAAGCATTAACATAGCAAAATAATCGCTAGTCCACACACAAATAAACATAGCAAGAATATTGAATTCGACTAGATAGCCATAAATCAACTTAACAATACGTTTAATAAAATATTTCATGGCAGTTGGGCAACATCGATCACTGTTTTCAGTCACTAATAAGACCAGAGGGAATTGTGTTGATTCGTTTAACTAAAGCCAAAAATTACTCTCCCACGGTTTCCGTTCTACATAAAACAAAATCGAAGATAAAACATCCCTGACAAAACAATAATAAAAAACATGGTGGAGTTCTGAAAATCTAAGGCAGGTGGTAGATTATGGAGGAGCATCAGAACCATAAAGAAACCACTGACACAGCCATACCAGGAGGAATCCTGGAGGAGCAAGCTTACAGCCTTCTTCCTCTTCTTCCACCCTTTCTGCGAGTGCTGTCTGTTGGAATTGGAGTCACGTCCTCTGAAACATACCACAAAAATGCAAATGGGGATTAGATTTACAACAAACAGGGCATGCGGTGAAATGCAGTTAGTTTAAGATAAATATGTGGCATTCGTGGGTGTGTGTATTTTGTTCATAATTCATCGATGCTATGGAGACATGGGCTTCACCTATGCGACCAATTCGCATTCCAGAACGAGCAAGAGCACGAAGTGCAGACTGGGCACCTGGGCCAGGTGTTTTAGTCTTGTTTCCTCCAGTAGCACGCAGTTTAATGTGAAGGGCAGTGATACCAAGTTCCTGTTTCATGAAACATATGGCCAAGTAATATCGTTAAGTATCCGTTCAAAAAATGGGAGTGCATACGCTCGAAATGGAACCTTCAGACCCAGTCAAGTGTAAAGAACCAAAGATTACAATCCATCAAAATGGAGAAAAAGGGTAATGAAGAAACAATGTTAAATGAGGATGGAACCTTGCATCTCTGAGAAACATCCTGTGCTGCAAGCATAGCTGCGTATGGGGAGGACTCATCCCTGTCAGCTTTCACCTTCATACCACCTAAATTTATAAAAACACCGAATTACCCTTCTTAGATTCTACAAGAACACAAGTAAGAAAAAATAATAGCATGACACTTTCATAAGAAATAGAGAAGAACAGATCCCAGATCAAAAGTTTCAAACACTTTAATAAGAGAGTATAAAAAAAGCAGAAAAATATTCAATTGTTTCACCTGTAATGCGGACAAGGGTTTCCCTTCCAGAAAGATCAGTCACATGCTGCGGTTGAAACAACAAAGTTATCATTCTGCTACTGAATGAGCAACCAAATTATATAATCCTTCCACTTACAATAAATGTATCGTTAAATGAGGCAAAAATGTGAGCCACGCCAAACACATGCTCGCCCTCCCTCACAGCTGGTCCAAGAGTCACAGTTTCTTCCTTGGGTTCCCTGGTCTTCCTCCTTGAGCCAGACTATGGAATCAAGAACAAAAATGAAAGCAAAGTAAGGATTCCTATAGATTCAAATTAAGCTAATGCTGACAATTTTCTACTGTGATACATAAAGAAACAAAGATGAAGTCAGCTTGACGCCAGTAACTCCAGGCATGTTTGAAAGTGGTTTAGAAATCGTTAAGATAACTTGTCCCTGATTAAAATCATTCCAAAACGCTGCTTTCAATTCTTGAAAATCAAATTTGATAGTACGAAAATCGAGTTTGAAAGTGTAAAACCAAAATTGATTTGTAATGATTAAGCTTATGTTTCAGAGCAGGCCAGTTTAATCATTTCAAAATCACTCACAAATAGGCACTAACAATCACACTAAGTAACCACAAGAGCAGGGTTGAGAAGAACCAAGGAAAAAATACAAGTAAACAAAAACCCAAAAACAAATATAGGTCTTCTCTGGCTCTGCTGAACGGACCAAGTAGAGGTACACATTATCAACTGGGGTCGGAAAACCACAGCCTAAAAGAGCGAATTTACTCCCAACCTAATAAGTCCCACCAACCGATAGATGCCCTAAATTTCGAAACATAACAGAGCAGTATTCAGGCAAACAAAAGAACAAAGGAATGTCATTACATCCACAGTAGTTCAACAACTACAATACATAGCTTAAGCCAGGATAATGAGGACCATATTTATATAATCATATACCCTATCAAACTCGGGATTTCATGCTTTTCTATAATCGCAACAAATTTAGGAACCGAGGCGGAAAAAACCCCACGACGAAATTCAAGGTGTGAACAAAAGAGAATCGAAACACTTCTTCAAAAATCCACACTAGACCACCCATTATTGGCATGGTGATCGAGAAAACCAACGATAACTGCAAATAACCGACACAACCAGTAAGCCAGTAATCAAGAACCAGACTAGATCTACTCACCATGTTTACCAAAAGATGAGCGAAGTAGCTTCCGCCTTGAGGAGCTCTAGCGAGAATTTGCCGCCTGCAGAAGTCCGTGCGAGAAGAACAGCACGACGGTCGGCCAAAATTTATATGGAGGGAGAATTAGGGTTTTTCCTATTGGGCCTTTAGCTGCGAGTGGATTTACCGAAATACCCTGCCATTTTCTCAATAACAAGGCGTAATTTCCCCATGTAAAATTAAAGATTGCAACTTATGACTTATTATTTATGGGTTTTCCACAAAATAATAATAATAACAACTTGTGATTAAGTATTTTCTTAATATATATATATATATATATATGTATATATGGGGTTAGAATAAGAGAAAATCAATGAATAATAGTATTAGAATGAGAGATCATTTTCATGGAGTATTTTTGTTCCTTTTTGGCATTTAATTGAAAATAAAGTTCTGGTAGGCCGTCGACAACATAAATTTGAAAATAAGAGATCTAACAAAAATATAATTAACTTTTTTAAATATTTGCTGGTAGCCGATTTAGAAATTAGATTACAACAATTTAAACAATTATTCAAAAAAAATATAAGTTAACATGTTTTGTATTTAAAAAATTGAGTTTATAATTTGAAATATTTACAAAAATAAAAAAATAAAAAATTTGTTCATTGAACCGCCCTAACAACATAGGGACAGAAGGATGAATGGTGGACCAACTCGGATTTTCAGGAGCGTTGGCAGGTCCTAGAGTGCCTGCCAAGGGCTCCACGCATATCCCGAGGTGATCATCACCACTCGCACCTCACATTTCAGCACAGTGAAACGTGTAATCTAGTTTCTCGAAGTATTTTTTTTAACATGTCTACAATTTTAACTATGATAATGTTGGATTTTAAAATTCTATTATTTGTATCTATCAAGAACTTGGTCTAAAAATGTGATGAATTTACCTTTCTTCATGTAAATCTAATTTTCATAACCGATTATAACATTTACTCCGAACTCAAACCGTGGATAAACAAGCTTAAATGAAGGTAAAATGAAAATAAACTTCACAAGAAAAAAGGGGTAAAAATCAATATATTCAACAAATTCTGCAGCTATACATACATATAACCCAACTCTTGTAAAGTAAACGATTTGATTTAATTTTTTCTTATAAAAGAGTATATAATTTGAATCTTTTATAACTACAAAATTTGGGTGTTAACCATAGTGTTAAGAGCAACCTAAACAAACCTCGATGCTCAACTTGTTAAAGACATATGCTCTTAACGAAGAGGTAAAAAGTTTAATTCTTCCATTCCATACGTTCAACTTGAAAAACTAGGCTGAAATAAGGCCAACATAACCTGCGACCAGTGCCAAGATGGACGATACTGTATACGCCCCAGCAACAATGAATGGTTCTTTGATGCCACATAACTCAAGGTGATGATGAAATGGCACCATTTGGAAAATGCGACGCCCAGCTCCCTGGAACTTTTTTGTCATCTTGAAGTATACCGCCTGAAATTGTTGAACAGTTGGATAAACTGTAAGTTTCCAGGAACATTAGAATATGCCGAGCCAATATGGTTCTTGTCACCTAAAATATATATGTACAACAAAGAGCGACGCAGTAGTACATACAAGTAATCTGTGTTTATGTTTGTATGATTTTGATATAAAATCTGAACTCTTAACTGCTATTCTTTGTACTTGTGCTGTCATTCATTACACAGCTCGGTTTCTTATTATGAATTTCTTGTGACTCATTTCGGACAAGAAAAACGATCAGAAAGAAGAACCAGTGAAAATAGAACAATCAGATATTTTTTCGGTTCGGATAAAAGGTTTGAGCGAAACGAGAGAAATGTGGGAGCCGGACTAGATAAATTTTTGGCTTATTTGTGGTGCATCCTCTCAAAAGATTTATTTGATTACACACTTCCATTGTATCTGATATTTCTTGTAGCAGTTTTATGTCAGCTCCTTGGGATATGGGTGTGACTTTATTGTTCTAGAAAATGAAACAACTAGTTAGAGTAGGAACATACCTGCAGGATAACTGATGATGTTTCTAATACAAAAACTAGTGAAGAGATGAATAGTGGGAAAAACATTCCACTGCAGGCAGCCATTGCAGCTAATGCTCCACCGAGTGCAAAGGATCCAGTATCACCCATAAATACAGAGGCCTTAAATCGGTTGTGCAAAAGAAAACCAACACAAGCTCCAGACATTGATGCTCCAAATATGGAAAGGTCTGGTTTGAAATTTCCATACAAATCAGTATTTCAGTATTGAGAGAACTTTCTAGGACCAATTTGCAAGCTTAAATCCAGTTTCTTGCTTATAAATCGATTTTAGGAAATATAACCAGACTGCATAATTTTATAGAATAAAGAATAGTGTGCTTATAGCTACTCTCTCTCTCTCTCTCTCTCTCTCTCTCTCTCTCTCTCTCTTAGAAAAGAAAAAAAATGAAGAATATTACCAGGTGCAGAATATTTTGCACTCATAGCTAATCTCTATCTCGCTCACTTATGCACCCTAATAAACACCTAGCATAATATTGTGGTCAAATGAGATCCAAGGAAGATTCAATCAATTTTCATTATTTTATGACAGGATTTTATGTCCCAAATACACAAATAATGTTGAAAACAGTTCATCGTGTAAACATAGTTTCTTTCCAGAAAAAGAAAAACGAAAAATAGCTCAAGACTGTAGTACTAACCAGAAGATATTGGAAGCACCGCAATAGCCATCCCAATGAAGGCCAATGCAGCAGTCCCGCCAGCAAGTCCATCAAGACCATCCGTCTGGTTTATTCCATATCCCATGGAAACAAAACAAAACGAAGTCAACCACATGTAGCATTTTCCAAGGAATACAAGGCCAAGAGGTGCAGGCATAGGAATCAACATTTTCCTGCATTTCAAATCAAAAGTTTTGTTCACTAAAAGTGCACGGTTCTGTTTTTTGGTAGCAACGAGAATGCCAAAATAAACAAACATGACATACGTAATCAAAATAGCCAACAAATAAAGTTTAGAATTCAGTATAAGCAATATTTCATGAACAATAAATGAAAAAGAGTATGTTGGATGCATGTCATCAGACTACAGGAAAACTAATAATCCAGATATCTAGCTTTCAGAATCCCAGACAATTTGCTTTCAGAATCCCAGACAAATAAATAAGCAAGATTTGAAAAGAAAAAGTACTGTCAGCAATCAGGCCACCTAATTTGATCAAATGCAGAGCCAAAAAACAAGCAAGGAAACAAGAGAAGAAATTGAGTACAGGTTAATGAAATGACATGCCTAGAAATCAAGAGGTGGAGCTTCTCATAATGCAGCAGACAGTCTAATTCAAAGTAACAGTGACACGACGTTATTTCTCGTCACCAGCATCCGGCCAAATTTTCAGAACTTACAACTAAAAGTTATAAACTGTCTAACAAAGGCAAATACCTGCTTATAACTTAAAAGATACCAATCAAGTTCCCCAATTCCTTCAATATGACACTGTGGCTTGCAGAAACATGACGTTCATTTATATAGCAAGCAACAGTCGTGGAAAATTTCCCTGGTAATCATATTAAATAACTCACTAGTAAACAAGTCGGTTGAAAGGCTTCCCATTTTAGGATATTCTATATGCTACATCCAAATAACATGTGCTTTATTCGATAATGACTACTTACATCAGTACGTGTACATGTCTTTACTCTGAATTGGTTCCTCACCAATGCAAAGTTTTAGGACATAGTTGTCAATCTTTTGGTGCATTTATTTAACATGATATTCAGCTTTTCAGAGTTAATGGTTCGAAAGAAACCAAAGGTTCCCACATATCAAGCTCCTCCCTCGGTTAGATCACCTTGCTTCAGCGTCTCCAGACTTTTTCATGGTGTTCTCTTTTTAAGCTTGCCGTTGATTTCTCTTTACAAGTTTTATGTTTTAGCTGGAATGCCTATTTCTTTTCGTTGTAAGTCTCTTTGTTTATCATTTTCTGTTTTCAATTTCACTCCCTTAGAGAGTTTGCATCTTTCGAGAGTTAGTCTCTCTTCATATGTGAGTTACCATCAGAAAATGGTGGTCAGATTAGTACAAGAAAGTATACATGCTGTAAGGAGATGATATACTTGCATCTTGGAGCCAAAAAGAAAACCACATTCCAACAGCTGCCTGTAAAATACCAACAGAAGAGAACTTATTCAGGCTGTGAAAAACCCACCTAGTTCGAGAAGGGGAGTTACAAGTCTCACCTGCAGAAAAATTTTGATCCACGCACTCAAACCACACTTGTGAGTCCTGATTAAGCTTATGATATCATCTACCATTCCAATAGCAAAAAATGCTAAAGTTGCCAGTGATGCTCCAGAAACTTCAGCGGAAGAAAAACCAGTAAAGTGTTTAGCAACAGCTATACCAATTGGCACAAAAAACAATCCACCCATAGTAGGCGTCTTTCTCTTTAACGCGTGTCTAACAGGTCTTTCTTGCCCTGTAATTTGGTAAACCTTAAGCTGATAGAGTACTGGAACAAAAATATAGCCTGCACATGCGGCTAAAAAGGCCGATATCAAAAAAGGGCCAGTAAGATGAAATGGCCCTAGAGGGAGTCGAACAGTTCGCCACGCACACCAATCCACATAGAGAAGAAGAGCCGTCAAGAAAGCTATCAGCCCTGTATTTGTAAAAAGTCCATGTCTGATCCTGAAGACAACCACAATAAGACCAACGTCAAACCAGAAAAAAAAAGCATGTTACTCATTTATTAGATATGCTATCCACAGATTGGAACCGTTTAGAAAGAAATTATTAATAAATCATCCAAATAAACTAAAATAGGAGAATGAGCACAGATAACTAGAATAAATGCTAAAAGCGGCTAAAAACTTTTATAACCTTTTAACATATACGATGGATATAGGTCAGGCATTGTTCTTTTTAACTTCATCCTAAGTACTGCCAACCCCAAGAAAAGATATCTAGATCAGAAGTTTGACCTTTTTCAATCTTAGGCCTTACACAACATATTGCAAAAGTTGGGGGATAATCTCATTCTCGGCAAGCAAATTATCAGACAGATTTGCATGAAAACTTCATACTGTTTAAATTTCTTTCAATTTGAAGCATCTGACCACCTTA